GGGACGAATTTTGAAAGTTAGATTTTTGGGAAGAAAAAAAAAGGAGGGGGCAAAAAAGGGGGGGGGTGGAAACCTTTTTGTGGAAAGTTTTCAAAAAAAATTCCTTTGATTTTGGGCAGGTTCTTGGTGGGGGGGAAATGGGGTTTAAAAAAGGGGAACGGGGGGGGGAATTTTTTAGGAAACTTAGGGAAAGGGGGAAAGGGGCTTTGGGCACTTTTAACACAAGAGCGGGGATGGCGGAACCGGGGTTTAAAGAAAGGGAAAAAAGGGGGGGTGGAGAAAAAGCCCGTTAAGAGGAAACCCCAAAAACCCCGGGGACCTGGGGCCAAGATTTTCCAATTATTTTTGGGGGGAACCCTGGGCCTTTTGGCCAAGGGGCGTTTTTTAACCTTGAAACCCTTTCCCCCCCCCCCCCCCCGCCGCCCCCCTCCCGACCCCGCTCCGATGTTTGCCATCGGGGTTGGGTTTTCGTCGCTTGGCAACGACGTTGTAAAACAAGCCGCCCCCCCCTGGTGTTTGCCATCGGAGTTGGGCTTTCGTCGCTTGGCAGCGATGTTGTAAAACAAGTCGATCACTTCGTGAGCTCGGCAACCAAGTTACAGCTTTTTATTGCCTTTGGGATTTCTTTTTGCGGTACAGTAACCTTGAATGGTGGTCGAGTAGATCATGTTGTGCGGGGTCGAGAACCCTCACTCCGCGCAAAAGGCGATAATCGCACCACGTTGTGTTAAATTGGTCAAGCACCCTCGAGGCAGTTACACAGTGCTTACAGCTGTCTCTGGAAGTGAAAGCACGAGAAAATAAATAATGTCATAAGCAGCGGTCATTCGTACGCAAGGAAGTAAGCACAAATGCCGAACACCCCTAGCGGGATGCAGCGCACCCTCCATGCGACTCGCAGAATACCTCACGGCGCTTCGCGCTTGCTGATGTGAGAGTCTGGTCCGGTGAGAACCCGGCGTGCTCCATCCCGGCTTTGTAGGGATGCGACGTCAATGGTCTAACGACTACGGCATGCACGACTATGAGTACACCCCCCGCCCCCCCCGCTCCCGTCCGCACATGGCCTGCCTGGTCTCGTCGAAAACTCAACGCCGCCCCATTCCGAAGTAAGACGCGAGGGTCTGAATGAGGAACTACGACGAAAAAGCTTCTAAATTGAGTACCAGATTTCCGTGTGTTGAAGGGGCGGGTCGACTGACCTTGTCGTTGATGAAAACATCGCCCATGTCGACGTACGCGAGCGGTTCCTCCGATCCAACCGTGAACCTGGCGAGCCGCATGCCGCCAAACAATACGGTTGTGAGAAGAAGTCCGTGAGCGGGGGGGGGGGGAGTCGGCACCGACGAACGAGAGCAAGAAAAAAAGCCCGATGAAACCCGGCCCAACACCAACCGTGTAGGAGCAAGCACTCCACAAAAACAGTAAAACAACAAGATGATGATTATGTACCACGGAAGGGTGCCAGAAACGCGCTACAAGTAGATGCCATCTTCTTCACCACACGGAAAAAAAAAACGAGTTAATCCATGACTTCACAAGTGTTTCGGCAATGAAAAATGTCTGGCTGGTGTGCGCTGCTGTCAATGGGCCAAAGTTTTGTTCTTGTCTTTGTCCAAGACAAAATCTAGACCCGTTGAGAAGGCGATGTACCGCCGTTCAGGAGACCTGAGAGAGCGAACCGGATACGGTTCATCTGCCTTGCCGCAGACATTTCGGAAGCCTCCACAAGATATTCTACACATAGTCTACGCTCTTCTCTTATTTGGACAATACGGCGGCCGTAACTTTTCTTGATAACGCGGTCGCCGCCGCCGTCGGCGTTGATATGCTAAATACACGGAACAAGTGTGCGCTCATCCGTTGGATACGCATCCACGAACAGCAACTCGAACAACGTTCTTGCCGGGTGTAAAAAAATAACACTTTAGACTAAAACATACAAATACTTACGAAACATAAATACAAACACAGAAAGACTACCCATTCGAGATAAGACCACAGTCGAACGGGGTTTGCTCGAACACTCGAACCTGCAGCCCGGGCGTCTACTACAACCACTATTGCTGTGTGTGTAAACATCAATACTGCAACCAGTGGTCGTGTGCACATGTGTCTAGACGTGACTTCATCAATAACGACACCAATTTAAACCAACACAATTGATGCCACATTTCGCAACCTTTTGTTGGCATGGTGCATACGAAGTACAGGTGTTCTACACTGGAGTTGTGACAGCAGGTGAGAGCTCCCGGCAAAAGTCCGACGCAGAAGAGTGCACCAAACAGCTACAACCCCGCCCCCCCCCCTCGAAACTTTCAAAACAACCAGAGGGAACAAGCAGGTGGAGACGATACCCCTCGGTGACTATCTATCTACCCATTATTGACCCCGTATGATGCGAGCGCTGAGCTGTTCGGGAGAAGCTGCTTTCCGGTCGACCCGTGGGTTTCAGCGGGGAATTGAGCTCGCGGGTCGGACGAACAAGCCCCCGAAGGAAAAAAACGGCCCGCCGACCAGCCGCGAGTGACAGCAGCAGCAGCACTGCTGCATTTTGCGGAGGCAACGGCACGCCCTGCTGATTGATGCCCCTACGCGCTCCCCTCCACGCTGCATGGAGAAGGCGGTCGGCACACGGACCACTCAATACATGAGCGCCAACGGCGATCACACCCTGTGGGGACGATTCGGGCCGCTCCCCCCCCCTCGGATCCACCCATTATCTACGTATACCGCTGCTGCTCTCTCTCCTTTGGCCCCACCAGCAAGCCGCCAACTACCACGACCCCTAGACAACGCGATCAACGGATTTGGCTACGCCTTGAAAGGGTCCACGGGGGGGTTCAACGGTCGCGACCCTGTGGTACATAGCTCTCGAGCCACAGCCATGAGTACATGCAGTACCCAGCGATTTTTCCAACATCAACCATCTGATGCGTCGTCTAAACATGATGCAAACGGCGGTGTGCAGGCTATATTTCAGTGGAAGAACGTACGCAGACAAAGAGAGCAAAAAACGGTTGTTGTTGTTGTTGGTTGCCAGACCGCGCGAAAGGAAACCAGGAACAGCAGTGCTGCCGGTGGTGGTTCTTCGCCCGCTAGGAGCTGCCTGGCTTCAACGGCAGGGAGATACCGAACAGCAGACGCGCCAATCGACGCAAAAAAAAGCCGGCCCACCAGCTGCTTTTCTGTGTGTGGTTCCTGCTGACTCTATCGGAAAGCGGTCTCCCACCGGCTGGGAGTGTGTCGATTTTCTAAGGCATGGAACGACGATCAGTTTTCTGTACAGCCTTCCGAGAAGAGGGGAACACTACACCTGCAGCACTACTATCCCCCTCCCCCCCAAAAAAGACTGGTTTGCCGCGCATAAAAACTTCTGACTATCTCTAGGCCGTGCTCTACTATTTACTATGGACAGCGCCTAGATTCCACAAGCGTATCTCTCGCCCTCTGTGCAGTTTTTCTCTCTCTCTGCAGACTCTTTTTTTTCGCCAAGCAACGAAAAAACATGCTAAGAACTTACACGTCCAAGGGTCCCGGCTCGTCTTGCTCGTCACCATCCCTGAAGTCGAGATGCTGCCGCCGAACCCTGCTGGGCTCAGGAGGGCGGGGAGGCAGGGCCATCTCGGCTTTCCACCGTTATGAAAGCGTGGATGTGTAGTGGATGACCTCACACCTGCTGGCCAGGGAGGCCCGCCAGATGGGAATGCGACATACCGCTGCTGCAGTGGGGGGGGCGACCAATGTTGTGGGCGCTCGACCAGCAGCAGAGCAACGCGGACTTAGAGAGAGATAGAGGACCGGAGCATTCCTGGACCAGCTTCGGCGGCACCGTCGGCGGAAACCTAGGCAATGGCGTGGAACGTTAACGATCTGTTTAGCGGGCGGCCCTCTGCTCGTCCTACTTCCGCGAAAGCATCGGCAGGAAAACGCAGCAGCAGCAGCAGCAGCAGCAGCAGCAACAAGGACGCAGGTCTTCACAGCAGCAGCAGCAGTAGCAGCGCCAGCGGTCCTCCAGCAAAAGCAAGGAGCGGCCAAGCCGCCCAGGGAGGGGTCATCAACTCGGCCCTGTGGGCCATCGCTCGCACGCAGGCCCTGGTGGACGCCGTCGAGCACGTGGAGGCCAAGTACGGCGACGCCCCGGTGCTCTCAGGCATGTTGCACACCCTCCGCCGGGCGGACCTCAACGATGCCTCGAGCACACGGCAAGCCGCCGACGCCGCGAGCACGTTTCTCAAAGCGAATCCCTGTCAGTACTTCACCCCAATGCACCCCATCGACGCGATCCGGGGCATCGTGGGCACTTGTGTGGACTCCGAGCAGGTGTTCAAGGCAGCCCTGACGACAACCTACAGGTGATTCTTGATGAGCAGCGCCATCATTGTGCTGGACGGTCCATATTTGGTACTGGTAGGTCCTACTACTGATTCTTATTAGGGTACACAGAGTTGGTGGATCTGTGCCCAGCAGGGGCGATGTGCAAAGCCAAGAACAACCAAAGCTGCGGAAGCGTTTGGCCCCAGAGTGTCATGCGACACAAGCCGCCCCCGATGCCGTGTCTCCTTTCTTTTGACAAAAAACAGGATTACCGAAAAATGCACCCTCTGTTCGTGGAAGGAGACGAAAGGTACAGCCACTGAGGACAAGTTTGAGTGCACAACCTCCCAGAGCGTGCAGATGGCGATCGAGCTCCGCTCTGCTCACAACGTCAAGACGGGCATTTGCGAGAAGTGCCAGAAGAAGAGCGTCGCGAAGGTGTGACTAGGTACCTACGTTTTCCCTTTTTTCTTGCACACTGCTGCTCCAGCAACGCCTAATTCGTGTCCTATTCCGCGCTTGCTTCTGGTACTGCAGTGTGTGGGTGGCGACTGACCAACAGCAAGGTGGTTGGTCTAGCTTGAGCTTTGTCCCTCTAAGGTGTTTTCACCAAGCAGTATCAAAAGCTACCCTGCCTACACGCAAACGGCGCACATCGTGTTTGTGACCCCTGTACCCGCGCCGTTTTCCTGTTTGGCACCCGACTGTAATCGCTCCGCAGAGATACAGAATAGAGAGAACAGCGCCGTGCTTTGTGGCGACGTGGACTGGTCTCGCCAAGGCGAAGCCCGCACGAGAGTCTCTGTTCATCGTCACCCCTTTTGGCGAGAGTTGGCGGTTCTCTCTCGCCGTCATGATCGCTTTTTGCGATCGAAAAGCGGTCTGCCTCTTCAGGTATGTATGACAACGTGTTTGGGAGCGCGGGGGGTTTCGAGCGGGGAGGGGCTTTTCGCGGCTTTTCGACGTCGCGAGAGCATCTTGCTCGCCCCTTTCATTTACATGTACCATGTTGTTGCGTCTTTTGCTCGAAGGTTTGGTCTCTGGCGTTCGTAGGCAAGCAACCTCGAGAAATGAGTGGCATGCATCTACCGCGCGCGCATGTCGTATCGCGTGCATGACCACCTAGTGTCACCCTTGGCCGTGCGCCCCCCAATGCCTTACCTCGCGCCTGTTCGTTGACACCCGCCACGCCCCACGAAAACAGTGAGGGGAGCAACTACTACAAGGTGGAGGGGAGCAGCGTGAAGGTGATCACGAAAAACGAGTGGCAGAACACCCAGCCGTGCCTGGCACTGTTCAGCCGCCAGGGTGCTGGCGGCCGAGGACGAGGCTTCTCTTCGTTTGCGCATGGCGGGAGTGCAAAGGCCGGAAAAAAGCGCCAGCGGGAAGACAACGGCAACGGGCAGTATTCTGCGAGCAGCGGCGGCGGCAGCAGGGCGCGGAGTGCGGCGGCGGCGGAGGTTATCGAGTTGGACGATGATGATACCGATGGGGGTGATGCCAACGTCCCGGCGGGCGGCAGCGGACGCGGGAAAGACGCCAGTAGCAGTAGGCAGAACGATAGGGGTAGTAGCGTTAGCAACGGTGGGCACGAACCCTCCAGTCCTGGGGTGGCAAGCGAAAATGGCGCGACTGCTATCGGATTGAAGGGGGATGGAGAGGGCGAGAGGGAGCGCGACGGCGCTGGGCGAGAGCCGGAGGTAGCACGAACAACAGCGCCCGACGCGGAAAGCAACGACAACGAAGTGGGGCGATCCGGATCGTCGAGCGCGGGGGTACCGGACACGGAACCATCAACATTCACCGGCGCGATCAAGAGGATGTTCACACGCCGACCGGACGAGGGAGGCTGGCTTCGACGAACCAATACGAGCGACTCGTCGACGGTGCGGAGTCCGGGCGGGGGGGGGGGGGGGCCTGTCCCGGCGGCATCAGGAGGTGCTTCGTCGGCATCGCGGCGACCGCGTCCCCGCGGTAACCTCGATGAAGAAACCGGATGACGGCGGCCGTAAGACAAGCGGGA